CCCCCCCCCCCCCCCCCCCAAAGAAAAACAAGAAACAAGCCACCCCAAAACATCTTGTTTGCTATACAAAAGTGAACAAGAACACACAAAAAATAGAAGACTGCAAGAAAAAAACTACTGATGTTACATTTTTCTACTAACTAGAAATTGAAATCCAGAGACTTCCTATTTCTATCATGTAAACAATTTTTTAACCCTCTTAGTCTCTTAGCAACATGAAAAGGTCAGCAGGTCAGCACAGCACAACCAAAATGGCGGCCAGTTGATGACTTTCCAGAACCGAAGTATTTCAGTGTTTTTCAGAGGTTCAGGGACGGTGTCGCACAGAAATTGCTTTTGCTTGCGATCTAAACGACGCATTTCAATGAAATTTCACAAACAAGGACCAGGACGTTAGCATCTAAATTTAGAGCGGATTGTTCTTTTTTCCAAGCTTGCACTAAAGGCGGGTGCGTTCGACCGGTAAAAGCCGGTATGGCTAAAGAGCGGGAAAGCCAGTATGATGCCAACATGATGGGAAGCCCGTTTTAGGCCGGGTATGGCTCAAAAAGATTAAGGTGTTTATGCTCTGCTTTTGAAATATTTATTTAGTGATCTACTTCAGACAAATATAAATTTTTTATGTAGGCCTAATTAATTTTTACACAAACGGAATCTAAAACAAAGGGCTATGGTTAAGACACCATCAATTTTTTCCCCAGTACTCTTCGAATTCGGACACGGATTTTTTTTCGCCCCCTCCTGTCCACCCAACAGTAATTGGTACCTGACTTCGAGTTGGGGAAGTAAAGGCAGCATGGAAAGGAACTTGCCACCCTACCACATTATGCTGAAGGCCAAGGAAGCTGTCTCACTAACAAGGCAATCCCCAATGTCCGGATCGGATGCGGGAACAACTTTACTTTTGCTCTTCGAATTACCATTGTCTCATTCATAAAATTTCAACTTATCTTTCTGGCTTCACACAATCTGTCATTCAAGATCTTGAGTAATGAGATAAAAGCCCTTACATAATAAATTTTGTTTAAGCGCTTCGCTGCCTTGATTGAAACAGTCTCAGTCTGTGGTATAATTGTGGAACAGGCCCTATAGTAAAAGGTAGAGGAACATAAGAGTAATGAGATAAATCCATTGTTAATATAAATCTGGTTTTAAGAGTAATAACATGTACTCACTGATCTACATCAATCTTGTTTCAAGGGTAATGAGATGCAGGTTCTACTCATTAATTATATAAATCTTGTTTCAAGAGTTATAAGACATGGGTTCAACTCACTGATTATATTATACATCTTGCTTTTAGAGTAATAAGACGAACCCACGGATCTGCATTAATTTTATATCATAAATCTCATCTAAATAGCAATGAAATAAACCCACTGATTATATAAATCTTACTTCGAGTATTACGAAAAGAACCCAAGGTAATGTACATCTAGCTACTGCTCTCACAAAGTGCGAAGACACAAACTTAAGACAGCGATGACAAAAGCGGATAAACACAGCTGGGACGAGGTGGCGCCATCTGTTCCCATCTTCTTGTGGCCGCTCTCTTCTCCAGAAGCTTCCTTTGACGTGTCTGTTAGCTCTTCAAACAGGTTCTCTGAAGACAGTGGTCTTGTAGGCGGAGGTGCCCAGGCTGCTGTTGATGAAGGGGCGGGAGTTGAAGAAGACTGGGTTGATAATATTGAAGGCGACCATGATGGTTTCGCTGTTGTGCCTGGTGGCTGAGTCATTGGTTTGTCATCCTTACCAATGACTATTTTTATATCATCATCATCGGTGTTTCCGAAATCTGAGGGAGAAGCAGAATCATCTCTAAAAGTTGTAAACTCAGTTTGAACGACAACAACTTATTTTACATTATGGTGAAGCATGTTTTGCTGAAAGTTTAAGACAGTAGAGTTGAAATTGTTTAAGTTAAGCCAGCCATCTATTATTGAGGTGAAAAGTGATTGTCTTAGACAGGTGGCATCATTATAATGTACACTTTTACTTTTACTTTACTTTTCCGATCCAGCGGCCATTTGGGTTCTAGCCCTTCAGTCTGTCGATACGGCAAAGAATTTACAGGTTTTAATCAGCTGTGCTTTGTCGCTGTATAGAGTGTTTCCAATGTCTGGGGAGGCAGCTAGGTAGGTGCTACGCATGTCGCAAAGTGCAGGGCAGTTAAAGAGGTGGTGTGATACTGTTTCATCCTGGCAGTCACAAAACGGGCAGTCGGGTGGGGTATCCTTGCGGATCCTATTAAGGTAGGAATTTATTGGGATGTGTTGTGTTCGCAGGTGAAATATCGTGACTTGTTCTCTTCCATTCAAGGAATTTAGTGCATCTCTTTATTAAAATGTATAAAAATCACAAGAAGGGAGGTGGGAAGTGGTTGTTTGTACAGGTGGCTGTCTGGGACAGGTAACTCTAGGAACAGGTTTGACTGTGCTAATAGAGAGAGAGAGACGGA